ATGGTAAAGATGAGGGACGTTGTGGGCTTGAGCACTCACGTGTCCTCTTTTGGGTCTTACTTCCGCCAGTATCTCTAAAAACTAGGGAACATTACATAATGACCCATCTTATGATTTGTGCCCCAGTGTTGGATATGTGTATATATAGATGTTGAACACATTTAAAGGAAAGAATTTTAGATGAAGAAATATAAAGCATTCCGATAAAGTGTATGCTGGTTTAAAAACACTAAAATTTTATTCTCTGTCTCTCCACTTTTCCTGCTAAAATGTTGTATTTAACATAAAGCATACAGTTTCCCTTTTTGGTGAAGCCCTCCCATTGGCACAGCGGTAAGTCTGTGGATTTTTAACGTCAAAAACAGGGTTTCGAAACCTATGGTGGGCACAGAACAAATAACCAATTGTGGAGCTTTGTGCTTAATTATAAACAAACAAAGCAACTGAGAAAGCTATTATGGTATATGTAGATGAACAATGGTGGTGGATTAGTCAGTTTATGGTTAAAAAACAAATTGAATATATGAAATGGTTATCAGGATTGTGTAATACATGAAAAAACTGGAAGACAACAGACCTGGAAAGAGACGTGGAGAAGACACAAAGGCATGGTGGACAAAGCAACGTTGACTAGAAACAAAAAGAATGGGAAAAGAAAACGAACAATGAAGAAGATAAAATACTAACATAGACACTACAGTGTAATATTCACAGAGAGTAATAGAATACAGGAAATAAATAAACATTTAATAGAAAATAAAGAATAGAAAAATACTAACACAGACACTACATTACAGGGAGTAATAGAATACATGAAATAAATAAACATATGATAAAAAATTCTAACATAGACAATACAGTGTAATATTCACAGGGAGTAATATAATATAATAAATAAATGAACATTTGATAGAAAATAAAGTATAAAAGATACTAACACAGACACTACAGTGTAATATTCACAGAGAGTAATAGAATACAGGAAATATATGAACATTTAATAGAAATAAAATTTAAAAAAATACTCAGAGTATAACAAAGTTTATAAATAAATCCGAAAAGTGAGATAGAAACAACATATTTGTAATGGTTATCTTTGAAAGAGCCCCCAGTGGCACAGCGGTATGTCTGCGGACTTACAACGCTAGAATCTGGGTTTCGATATCCGTGGTGGTCAGGGCACAGATAGTTCATTGCGTAGCTTTGTGCTTAATTACAAACAAACAAATCGTTGAAAGATTTAGATGTGGAAATGAAATAAAAGGAAATAAATATCAAATAAAAGAAGAAGATGCATTAGTTCTTTTGTCAAGAAAATGAACAAGCTATGCAATATTGAATAGTAGGATGTATATGGTGGTTGAGGGTCAAATGTAAACCAGGAATAATGGATGTTGAGGAAGATTGTGAGTATTTACAAGGCTCCAAAAATTTACAGAATACATTGAAGGATAAGAAAAAAGTGAATTAATTGTAAATATATTAACTATTAGATTTGTGATGATTGAAACTAAAGCGGCTGTATTGTTAACATATAACAGTTATATATATTTGGTACTGAAATAGATTGAAGCAACAATTGTAAAAGATCAATTATATTGTATTTATTTACTAGTCTGGAGTTGGAATCCTCTTACAGAAGGTTCACCGTCATGATGTGCCATGTCTTCCTTTCCTGTGCCGCTCTGATGCATCCTGCATAGTTCAGTTGTACCCATTCACATACGTTATTCATCCAAATTTCTTCTTGGTCTCCCCCTTTGTCTCTTTCCATTGGTCTTACCCTCCAATAATGTTCTCTGTATTGCCTGCTCTCTGACCACATTACCATAATATCCACACTTTCGTTGTTTTAATGTATTAAGTAACGTTCTTCTAATTTTGATCCTTCTAAGTACCTCTTCATTGGTGACTCTGTCTTTGTAAGATATTCTCAGCATTTTTCTGAACATACACATTTCAAATGCATTGATCTTCTCCTCCGTGTATTTATTTGCATGTACTCGAGATTATACATTTCTTAGACCCGAGAGGGTAAGAGAACTAAACTTATTATTAGAAACTAGCACTGGCTTACGACTAAAAATTTACGAAACCTAATTTTGTTGTTTATTTGTATTCATGAAAAACAGCCGATGAACTCGCGTATCTTGGCATACTATTTTTTTTTCACACAAGGAAGTTGATGACATTAGTTGCAAGTGTTTCTTTCAGCAAGACTGATCTCTATTCCATTTTTCACTAAGAGATTGTGATCAACTCATTAGAGTAGCCATGAGGGACCGTTAACTTGAGTACCGCACTATATAGACTTAGTGCACTTTCGTTGTGGGGTTTGTTTCTTTGAGAGCAGAGCCACATTACACTATCTGCTGGGTCCATGGCGGTAAATCGAACCACGAATTTTAGTTTTGTAAATCCATAAACGTACTGTAGTCCCAGGGATTGCCTGTGGAGACAGGTTAAGTTTATATTTTCCAGTCCTCATCAAAATACCGCTGTCCCACCGGGGAATTGACTTTTGGGACACGTTTGGTTCCTAGTCCTCGTCCAGCTACACAAACGTTGGTATTATAGAACGACTGTTGGGTTCGACGGCAATCGTGTTGGGTTCAATCTCTAAAGATACTACACATACTATAAATAGTGCTTCTTGTTAGTGTTGGGTTCAATCTCTAAAGATACTACACATATTATAAATAGTGTTTCTTGTTAGTGTTCGGTTCAATCTCTAAAGATACTACACATATTATAAATAGTGTTTCTTGTTAGTGTTGGGTTCAATCTCTAAAGATACTACACAG